TGGTTCTGTTGCTGCTGCTGCGGCCGCAGGAAATCCAACGCCAAGAAGGGCGAGAAGAAGGCCTTCCTGGGCCTGCACAAGAGGAGCAGTAAGGCTATTGTGGTGAGCAAGAAGGGGTACACCAAGAGAGGGTTCGACCTGGAGGACATAGAGGAGGGCTTGGAGGGCTACGATGACTTGGAGAAGTCGTCGCTCATGTCGCAGAAGAACTTCGAGAAGCGCTTCGGCCAGTCGCCGGTCTTCATCGCCTCCACCCTCATGGAGGAAGGCGGACTGCCACAGGGCTCCAACTCTGCGGCCCTCATCAAGGAGGCCATCCACGTCATCAGCTGTGGCTACGAAGAGAAGACCGAGTGGGGCAAAGAGGTAATTCAAGCAAAATTGAAAAATAAATATTATGCACCAGCCGGGAATCGAACCCGGGTCTGTACCGTGGCAGGGTACTATTCTACCACTAGACCACTGGTGCTGATGCTGCCAATTGTTTCTTTCATTATAGATTGGGTGGATCTATGGGTCAGTGACGGAGGACATATTGACCGGCTTCAAGATGCATTGCCGAGGGTGGAAGTCGGTGTACTGCATCCCCGACCGACCGGCATTCAAGGGTTCTGCTCCGATCAACCTCTCTGACCGGCTGCACCAGGTGCTGCGTTGGGCTTTGGGTTCGGTGGAGATCTTCATGAGCCGCCACTGCCCTCTCTGGTACGGCTATGGCGGCAACCTGAAATGGTTGGAGAGATTCGCATATACCAACACCATCGTCTACCCATTCACATCCATCCCCCTCCTCGCTTACTGCACCATTCCGGCCATCTGCCTCCTCACCGGGAAGTTCATCATCCCCACGGTAAGATTGATTCTGAGCTCACTCCACGATGATGAAGGGGGCGCGGCGCCCAACTGAATTAACTGCCACTCTGTGAACAGATCGACAACATAGCGAGCCTATGGTTCCTCGGTCTCTTCCTGTCCATCATCGCCACCGGGATCCTCGAGCTGCGGTGGAGCGGCGTGAGCATCCAGGACTGGTGGCGCAACGAGCAGTTCTGGGTCATCGGTGGCGTGTCGGCGCACCTCTTTGCGGTCTTCCAGGGCCTCCTCAAGGTGCTGGGAGGCGTCGACACCAACTTCACCGTCACGGCCAAGGCCGCCGACGACTCCGAGTTCGGGGAGCTCTACCTCTTCAAGTGGACCACCCTCCTCATCCCCCCAACCACCCTGATCATCCTCAACATGGTGGGGGTCGTGGCCGGCGTGTCCGACGCCATCAACAATGGCTACGGCTCGTGGGGGCCTCTGTTCGGGAAGCTCTTCTTCTCCTTCTGGGTCATCGTCCACCTGTATCCCTTCCTCAAGGGATTGATGGGGAGGCAGAACAGAACTCCCACCATCGTCGTCCTCTGGTCGATTCTGCTTGCGTCCATCTTCTCGCTGGTGTGGGTCAGGATCGATCCCTTTTTGCCCAAGCAGCAGGGGCCAGTTCTCAAGCAGTGTGGAGTAGAGTGCTAGTCGCCATTTCCTCTCTTGAAGAGCTCCTCCATCCACGTGACAACTGGTTGTGGTATGCATGATGAAGAGTGTGTATTGTGTGAAGATCTGCAGACAATTTGATCATCAAGAAGTGGAATATGGCTGTGCAAATTCATGTCTATGAGTGTGCAAATTAATTGATCGAAAAGAATATTTTTTGAAAAAAAGATCAATTCAGTTTGATAGGATGTTTGAGATCATAACACATCTTTTACAATGGTTACAGAAAAAAAGATGATGGGCTCAATCTTTCGAAAAAGGAAAAAGCATGGTAACACATCATGTTAACCATGACATTAATTTCAATCAACTTGATTGATTAAATATTTTAAACAAGTAACATCAAACATACCAAAGAAAACCTTTTGAGCTAACTACCTAAAACTTATTTCAGTGATATTTCCATATATTTTTTTTAATGCTATCGTATGTTGGGAGAAATCTGCAACAATTTGTCCCTTAAAACTACAGCAAATTACTAGTTGGAAATAGCAAAACCGAAGATTAAAGAATATACATCATTCATAGTCTTATTACAGCAACAAATCAAGGGATATTATTCCTAGCAGCTTTTTAAGACAATATATTCCTCGGCATCTTTAGATTACCATAAAATCAGCTATGATGACGCATAAAATATTATATGAGGACCTAATTTTTATAGCAATTTTTAATGTCGGTAACAAAATTTGAAAAAGAGAAACTTCTCATTCAAATTGATATCCCTCTCTTCTACACTGGCCAACCCTATCTTTATAAATTTTCTTGCATGATCAAGAATGCATTTGGAAACATATTTGAAATGTACATTGAATGTCCAATGTATATTTTAAATATAAATTGATATTTGATTTTTTTTAAATCATATTTGACCTAAATGTTGCATTACAAATACTCAAATACTAATGCTACCTTAGGATAACATTAGTTTTTCAATATTTACGAGATGTTAATATAATTTTTAAAATCTTTAAAACATCCTATAATATTATTTAAAATCATAAGATTGCCAATATGATTTAATAGGAAACTAACATGATTTATGTTTTTTATAAAATAAAATTTTATTTATTTATTTTTTTTAAAAAAATTATTTATTTATTTTTTAAAAAAAATTATTTATTTATTTTTTTTAAAAAAATATTTTATATTTATTTATATGATTATATTATTTATTTATTATATATCTAGACCATATGAAACTTTTTTTAATAAAATATTACATGAATTCATTTATTTTATTTATTTAAATATAAATATAAATATACTTTTATATAAATATTAAAAATATTAAAAGTATAAATTTATCACATAATATTCAATAAACTTTTGAAATATAATTTTAACAAACAAGACCTATGTCAACACATATTTAAAATATAATTTTTATCTATTATTTATCAAATACGTATAGTATTCCACAACAATATATTCACTCAAATATTTTTCTCGAAATACGTATTAAAAATATAAATAGGTGGAGGACTGTTTTATTCATGTAGTGCTTCTATTGAATATGAAATGTTATGATATATATTCGAATATATAGAGAACAACAAATTAATGGATGAGATTTTTTAAACACAAAAAAATAGATGCTTTTCTAGAAGGGGCACCTACCACATAACTTTCGAGACCAAAAAATAAATTAATTTAGACGTAGGACGCAAGACTTATTCAACTAAAAAGAAGCTTTATGATCTTAAACAAGCGAGGATGGCAATGTTAAAACTAATAAATATACCATAATTTCCAAAAGAAATAATATTTGGCTCCAAAACTTAAACTTATAAACCTTTAGGAGAAAAAGTAAAAGAAGAAGAAAGCTGGCCAAAGAACAGTTACATTTTATTGTTCATAACAGCAGAAACGGCAACAGAATAAGGCTCATAATTGCAGCCACACATTTAGGAACTTCACATGGATAAATCAACTGTTTATTTTTTTCTTAGCATGAATTTTTCTACAAAACTAACCAGAATACGATAATTTAATGCTAATCCATATGCATGGTTTAACATTTCACATTTTCAAATCCATAAGTTACATGTAAACACAAGAAAAGACTGTAAAACCTATATATTTAGTCTAATAAATTAGAAACCCAACTGATCTTGTTGGTTATACAATCAAAAAGGCACAGTGGATTGATGGCTCATAACACAAGTTGAGTTTCCTAAACATGGCGGATGAGAGTACTGTTCTTCTTAAGATGAGAAACTTAAGCAAAAGAAATGATTCCAAAGACAAAGCAAATGCAAACAAAATACCAAAACAGCAGTGAGTAAAGATTAAAGCCCCAGTTAGTCTTACACAGAACAACATTACCACTTAAAAGCTATCCATTATCAGTGATCTAAAAAGGCGCTCGGGCACTCGCCTAGGCGCTTGGGCGAGGCGAGGCGAGGCCCGAGCGTCTCGCTAATCTCCCAGACGACGCGCTTCAAATAGATGCCGCCTGGGCGCTCGCCCGAGCCCATACGCTGGGCGCTTCGGGCGAGCGCCTAGGTTAACCAAGGTGACCGAACTAGGATTTTAGGTCTGGTTCGATCCTGGTTCGGTCTATGATGGTTAGTTGGTTCAATCGAACCAACTAAAACTGATATAAGTGACAACCGAACCCTAACCCTCGCCGCTATCGATCCCGATCCCGTTGCTCGCTGCTGTCGCTGCTCGCAAACGCTGTCGCTGTCGCCGCTCCCGCTCTTGCTCCCACTACCGCTGCTCGCCACTGTCGTTGCTCGCAAACGCTGCCATTGTCGCCGCTTGCGCCTCCCGCTGCTCGCCGCTTTCACTCCCGCTCCTGCTCTCGCTGCCGCTACTCACCGCTATCACTGCTCGCAAACGCTGCCGCTGTCATTGCTCGCGCCTCCCGCTCCCGCTGCTCGCGACTGTCGCTGCTCACCGCTACTGCCGCTCGTCGCTACTGCTTCCTCTTTTCTCAGTCAGCAGGCTCAGCACCCCTTTACACTTCCTTTTAACAGTATACGTATACTGTTAATATTATTAAGTTTATTTGAAATGATTAATTTTCAATACTATTAATAGATTAATAATATATTATTTTTAATTTTAATACTGTTAATTTTTATTTATTTGAAATTTTTTGTAAATGTGACATTGTGATTTTGTATTTTAGATTTTCTTAATTTAATAGTATATTTTTATTTAAAATTTTAAATAATTATATTTATTAATTATATTATATATTTTTATATTTTAGTGTCTCGTTTCGCTCGGGCGAGCACCTAACGCTTCAGACGTTTTTGGACCTTGGTGCCTTTTGACGCCTAACGCTTTTTAAATCACTGCTCCTTATTCATGAAAACTTGAAGATGGAGACTCCAAAGAAGATGATCCTCGTAACCTACATTAGAGAACATGGTGCTGGTAGTAGCTGGAAAGACTTGAGCAAGAATGCAGGTCAATCTGCTTATCTTGAATATATGTTACTGCAAACAACATAACTAATTAGTGCCCTGCTAACAATATATATTACTACATACATTATTCAATGATTAGTAAATTGCTGATAAAGGGCTCTTCGTGACTTGATTACAGTACTGAAACTATTTAATTTATGATTATTAACATGCAAAAAGTAAATCTTATGTTTAAATACTTATTGAGAGCCATTTTTGCAGTCCATCATCACCTTTTGTTTTCCACATGAACACAAAGATTGCTTTGTCTTTTAGATCAACATAAAGCAAGTTGAACTAATGACGGTTATAATTCGATGAAAATATGTTCATCTTTGTGCAATATTTTATATAGTCCATTTTACTTCAATGAGGACTACTTAATCCATTAATTGTTCAGTAATAAAGTATAACTTAATTAATTTTATGATCTTACAATTAAATTATTTATCCTAATATACATTCTATATCAACATATCTACACTGACCATGTCATACAACCACCAAGTAAAGAAATTGTTTTATTGTCTTCATAGATATTATTATTTAGTTGGAAAAAGTTGAACATTATGTGATCATTAAACTTTCAACAAACATACATGTCATTTAGCTTCTATGACTACACGTGTGATTTCACCTAGTACAAATTTTCATGACTCAATCTGTTTCAATTGCGGTAGGTCTTCAAAGAAGTGGTAGAAGCTGTTGTTCATGCTGGCTAAATTATCTACAACCAGGTCTAAAACATGGAAACTTTACTGAAGAAGAGGATAAGATAATACACTCTCCACAACAACATTGGGAGTTGGTAATTTGCATAAAACTTAAAGCATACTTACTCTAAAATAGTTTCAAACAAGTCTAACAACTATATGCTGTATTTAGTCTGCAAATGAAATCTAAATTCAATGTATAAATATAAAAAATGATATAATAAATCTACAATAAAAAATTCAGCAAAGCTAGTGGTTATTTGTTAATCCATCCTTTTTCCACTGGATGTTGAATGAGTTGGTCTGTGATTGCTTCTATGCTGCCTGGAAGAACTCACCTAGCTATAAAGAACTATTGGAACACCAAGATGAGAAGGCTGCCAAAGAAAAGAAAACATATCAGGAACAACTAACACATCATAAATGAAGGTCATGCTTCATTAGCTGCAACTGAAATGGAAGAAACCAACAACTCCTCAGCTCCAGTTGAAGAAAGATATATTGAAGGGCCATTAATGGCTGAAAATTCGATGTTAACTCAAGCAATATCTCATGAGGTGATCTCAGGGTCTACTTTTCCATCAATGTCTGAAATATGACAACACTCTGATTTCAGTGAGATTGCTCATTTATTCATCATGACACCACTTCATGAGCTCATGTTGTACTCTTCATTTTCCACATATTTTGATACAGTGGATAACAACTGGAGCAACGGTGATATCTTTGTTTCGTTAAATATTGTCATCATGAAGTGCAAAGGATAATTTGTATTGATTTTCGTTTATGTTCTTGCTGCATCATTGGCTAGTTGTTTAAATCAAGAAATAAATACTCTATTAAAATGCTTAAAAGTAAAATATCAATTTTCTGTTTCATCGAGCCTTATAATGTCATTATGTATTTGTCTTATGTCTATGCAATTTTTTCTCCTTTTGAATAAGTTCATACATTGCATTTTAGACAGTAAGAAATCAGAAGAATTCATCACGATATTTCATCAAAATCATAAAGAAAAATATAGGGTATGTTTGATTTGAATTCACAATGATCCAAGTTACCAAAAGACACAAAAGAGGTATATATTAGTCCATCATTTATGTGGGTTATTCATCCTATATTATCAAAGTTAAATTTCTTTGTCAAATTAATCTAACTGTCCTAACCTTGAAGCATTTGGCAAGTTGAACGAATGCCAGTAACTTAACCTTCCTAAATCTCAAACCAAATACAGTAGAATCCAATTCAACAACTCAACAAACTATTTATTAAAAGCAACAAAGAAGAAAAAGGTATAAGTTAAGTCATACACACACACACACACACACTCAATAAGGGTTGTGTCTATCAAGATGCTGGAGACAGATTTTATGAAAAGAAGCTTTCTTGTTTTACATAAATAAGTTATTGTTGTGCAATTTATTTTCAAATGGGGTCCTTTTATCTAAAATATATGCTTCAGGTCCTCCAATCAATGATCTGTGGTTTGAGTTGTATCTAGCAGTTTGTCAAATTAAACATTGAATGTTCATAAAAAGAACACAAGTTTGAGATCCCAAGTTCTTTTTTTAAGCGTGTATGTGAACTTCTCATTGGGATCATTGAGTTTCCCTTGCAAAAGTCTAATTAAAAGGAAATTTTAAGATAATTAAAGCTCCAATACATTCAGCTTAGAATACTGATGAACTCCATGGATTAATTTTTAAAGAGTAAAACTCATTTGAAGCACTAGGTAGAAACAAAAATGAACAAGCTGAAACCAAGGTTCGCCGTATCATACCGTACCGGCGTTTCGACCCGGGCTCGGTACGATACGGTACCGGTGTACCGGGCGATACATTAGGGCATACCGAGTGGTACACCCTGATGTACCGAACAATTTTATACTTTTCCATACTGTAGTAGTGCTACAGTATAATACTATAGCACTGTAGCGGTACCGGGTGGTCCGCGTACCGATAACCTATTGGACCGGTACATACCGCCTGGTACGGGCGGTACGCTTCGGTATGACAGACCTTGGCTGAAACATAGATGTCTTATTTTTCACTTACTCCAGAAATATTTACTATCAATTTCAATGTAGAGAAAGTATCAGAAGCATTGGAAGACAGATTTCAGATCTGAGGTGAACTCTGAAAGGCCGATGGAACAGAAAGATTCAGATACTCTTTGTCAGATGACAACTAATTATTTTTTCTTTCTTCTGGTTTTTCTTCTCTTTTCCAACTTGTCTTCTCTTTCTTTTGTTTGTTCCCTCACCTCCCTGTACCTCACATTTTCCTCTTCTCCCTGCTTTTCATCTCTGGATGGCTCTCTTATGCCCCTCCGGATCTTAATTCATGACAAAAATCTCAGAAAAGATGGATAAAAATAAATATTTGACTCAAAAGGTTTGACTTGTGATATCTAACTAAACCACTTAGAGGCACCTTGATTGGTTTTCTGAACAAAAGAAAAGGCACTTCTTCTCATCCATGTTATTCTTCTCCTTCCATTTTTTGAATGACGATATGCAGTGAACAATAATGCTAGCTTTTATGGGAAAATCCATTCTGAGGAACACATAAAACTCTCAGTAACACACAATGTCTTCATTTCCTTGCATTTGCTTTACAAGGTAGAAGATCAGTGATAGTTGTGCTTATTTGCAATTCTCATGCATCAGCGACAAGAAAGAACTTAGAAGTCAAGCGCCATACCTCAAGCTGCTACCAAGCTTGTTGCATCAACTGCTATTACTTCAAACCTGACCAAGATGGATGCCTTTGCAAAAGCTGCTGGCAAAAGCATTGTCCGAGAATTCATCAGCTAAGATTTCCGATCATGGAAATGTGACTATGTCTGCTGTGAAATCTGCTGAAGATGGCAGACAAAGAAGAACCTCTGGTGGCAGGTAACCTTGATGAGGCTTGCAAAGGAGTACATGAAGAGATCACAAGCTGCAATCACAGGCAACTGGGATACTTCTATTCTCTTGATGAGCTTATCCTTCAATTGATCTGATTTCTTGTTTAACCTCCCGCACCACTAGCTAAAAACTCATGAACAACATCCATTGACCTCAATCAGACTGAATCCAGGGTTCTTCTTCACACCGAGTCCCACCATCATTCTCCTCATCCTTGTGGCATCATCCCACCGGTCGATCGACGCAAACATGTTTGCAACAAGAACGTAAGCTCCACTGGATTTTGGCTTTAAATCAACCATCTTTGATGACAACTCTTCTTCATTGCCCAACTGGTCTTGGCTGTTTGCCCTGAGCCCACCAAGCAATGCTCCCCATACAAACTCGTCGGGTTCCATTGGCATGGATTTGATGACCTCCAGGGCTTCCTCTATCAAATTCCCCCTACTGAGAATATCAACCATACAAGTATAATGCTCAATCTTTGGTGTTATTCCATAGTCATGATGCATCCGACTAAATATGTTAAGTCCCTGCTCTACTAATCCTGCATGAGAGCAAGCACATAATACAGCTATGATTGTAACATCACTGGGTTTAATCCTTAATCTTTCCATCTCTCTGAAAGTTTCCAATGCCTCTGGGGAACGCCCGTGCATGGCAAATCCATAGATCATCGATGTCCAAGAGCAAACATGTCTCTTCTCCAATCTGTCAAACACCAGCTTGGTGCCTTGTAGCATCCCACATTTGGCATACATGTCCATGAGCGACGAGCCGAGAAAATCGTCCACCTCGATCTCTTGCCTGGTGATGTACCTGTGAATCCATATGCCCTGTTCAAGAGTGCCCAGATGGGCACAAGATGAAAGCACGCTGACCAAAGCGGACTGGTTAGGCCGTGGCACCTCGACCAACATGTCCTTGAACAGATCAAGTGCATCCTTGAACCTGCCACACTGCGCCAACCCCGATATCGCGGCGCTCCACGTAGTGGCATTCTTCTGTGGCGCCCGGGCGAGCAGGTCTCGCACAACCTTAATGGCTCCCGACCTAGCGTGACCTCCAATCATCGTGTTCCACGAGACAACATCCCTCTCAGGCATTTCGTCAAAAAGCCTAGAAGCGCTATCCATGAAACCAAACTTTGCATAGCCCCCCAGGAGTGCATTATACGTCCCAACATTTCTATGTTTCATCTCGTCGAACAGTCGGCGAGCGTACGCGATATCCCCGCACTTGACGTACCCTCCGATCATCGAGTTCCACAAAACGACATCTCTATCCGGGATTTCATCGAACAGCCGTCGAGCGGCAGCGACTTGGTCGAACTCGGAGTACATTCTGACCAAGCCGCTCCGGACGTAGGCGTCCAAAGAGAAACCGAGGCGGAAGATTCTCGCGTGAACAGATTCGCCGGCGGCGGCGGCGGGGAGAAGCGAGCAGGCCTTCAGGACGGAGGGGAAGGTGAAGCGGTCGGGGGCCACGCAACCACGGTTCATCTGGAGATACAAGAGGAGGGCGCCGCCGGGGAGGCGCGCGCCGACGAGGCCCCGCAGCATGCAGTTGTAGGCGAAGCGGGCGGGGATGGGGGCGTGGGCGAAGAGGAGGGAGGCGAAGCGGAGGTCGCCGTGGGGGGAGGTGGCCGCGAAGGAGAGGAGGGAGGCGAGGGCGGACGGGTGCCCGGAGGCTCCGGCGACGATGATCCGTGCGAGGTGCTGCTTGAGGTGGGACATGGAGAGGCAGCAGGACGACTTGGAGAGCCCATGTAGAAGGATTCTTCCTCTTCCAAGGCCATAAAAGGAAGAAGCTGCCGACAGCGACGCCGACATCAAAAGCTCCAAGTCCTAAATCCAAGAAGCAGGTGGCGACCACACATCGACACGAACTTCCCAATTCTGCCACTATCAACTGCATCGTTCATCCACTTCCAAGAAAGATATAAAGCGAAGACAAAATTGAACCTGTACAATGATGCACTGACACGTTTGAGACGATGAAACACCAAGTTCTACAACGATCGAGTGCACAACATCCCCGTACACATTGCTTGTTGTTAATCTATACAAGAATTGCCAACCCCTGTTGTTCTCAAGGGTTCAAGAAAGTTGTCGAAGGGCTATCCTACTAATAAGTTCCTCTGAACTGTGTTCTCATGTGCAGAGATGACAGAGAGTATGCTGTCATCATAACTACTCTTAGGGGCCTCAAGAATTACCTTTGGAGGAGGTAAAGCCCACTGCGTTGTTAAGATAAGGAGTTTGAAACCGATACCTGCATTTAAGATGATCAATGCATAGTCAGAAGCTAGAATTAAGCAAGCAGAGAATGAGAGTTTTTTTTTTTAAAGAAAAAGAATGATATGCTTGAGCACAAATGCAAAGTGACTAAATGAAAATTAGCCAATAGTTTCCTTGAATCCACCAAAAATTGCAAAATGGATGCATCCAATAATTTAAAATTTTACATTACTGGAATGATGAACACAAATCCTTTCTCTGATCCAACCAGCAATGAACATCCTTTTACCGTTCAAAGAACTATCATGGATTAAAAGTAGGATGCTTGAGAAACAAAGACTATACAAGTCTTTCATATAACCTCTTCTAGACGGTAACCATTACCTAAGTGTCTCTAGCAGCAAACTCTATTTTCATTCAACTCATACCTGGTGAAGATCTCCCTGAAACCTTGCGGGTTACCTCGGACACAACTTTTGTTGCATGTAGAAGAAAAGGTTATTCGAGGAGAAGAAAAACATGATGTCAAATTGTTTAATGCATCACATGATATACTTTTGTTACCTTTTTTTTGTTTTTTTACTTACAACTAAAAGAAAACTAAATATTTAAGTGAGATAGGTTACTTGGATAATATAAATCTCTGGTTAGGGAGCGAGCAATCGAAGACAAGTAAAACTCATAGTTACAGTTAACGTAGACCACCAAGCTTCATTTCTTGCTTCAATAAACATGATATTTGTCCTTATCCTTCTCACATAATCTAGTACACCTCAAAGTCTATACTAAATTAGAGAAAAAAATAAACTGAAAGCATGCTAGCGTAGGAGATTTATGGATGCTATAATTAGATTAATGTTAATAGTTTGAAGAGAGATAAAGAAAAATTTAACAAGAACTTAATAAATATTATAAATAAAATTTTAAATATTTTAAATTTAACTAGATATATAATTTTTATAGATCACAATGATAAGATTCATGTAGCCGATTTTAAATAATTTATACTTATAATTTTGTTATTGTTGTTGTATGCTAATAGGTGCAGGATACATCAAATATGACAACTTTAATAGTAATGGCTTTTATGAAAGTCTGAAGTTTCTCTATTCAAATGAATAGAATTATAAAACAATAATAATAAAAAATAAAAGTAATAAGGATCTATGGGATGAGACTTCTATGCGACAATACAGTACTTGCATGATAAATATATCAACAACCTCAACTCAGGTCCAATGGCCCCTAATTGAGTTAATATTGTTTCACCTCAAAACTGACTTAATTAGACCTAAACTAACTTTATCTAAATATATACGATTATAAGTATGAATCCTAAATTGTCCAGCATATCATTGGTTCATCTGATGTTTCGTTCGATCCTTTGACGTATTGACCAATCGGCATATTGACCTCTCGCAACTTTCAATATCCTTAACACAATATCTAATCCTTTGGTCCGATACCCGAACTCATGACGCAAAGTCCTTCCAGCACGTTGACCATTCCTTCGGCCCAACGTTCGATTCTTCCTACTTTAATCGAATTGTCTTTCCTTGATCGAGGTTAGTCCTACATCACTCAAACCCATATTAGATCATAATTGCATTAATTGATTTCATCATCAAAATCCGAGATTCAACAATTATGTCCCCAAAAGACTTTTGAAAAAATGGTAAACATTGATATGATACCATATACCTTAGCGATAGGTTCTATCATGTATGTTATGCTATATATTAGGCCTGATATAGCATATGCTTTGAGTGTAACGACCAGGTATCAGATAGATATAGGCTTAGAGCACTGGAAATGAGTAAAGTATATCCTTAAGTACTTGAGAATGACTAAGGATCTTTTACTGGTATATGAAGGAAGTGGCCTTAGGGTTGAGGGCTACACGGACTCCAATTTCTAATCCGATGTCGATAATAGTAAGTTTAATTTAGGGTATGTGTTCACCCTAAATAGAGAAGAGTTTCAAGTAAGATACAACTACTAACTCAACCATAGAGGTGAAATACACTATTGTGGTAGAGGCAGTAAAGGGAGGAATCCGGATGAAAAAGTTTATCACAAATTTGGTAGTCGTGCCAAGCAACGAGGAGTTGGTTCCCTTATATTATAACAACAACGGAGCGATTGCTTAAACAAGGGAACCTAGGTCTTATCAGAAGTATTTTAAGGTGGTTCCAGCTTATTAGAGAGATCATGGTTCGAGGAGATGTAGCAGTGGAAAGAGTTCCATCCGAAGATAACATTGTAGATCCACTAATGAAACTGTTGTCTCATATTATCTTTGAGTGTTATAGGAGTCGGATGGGGATTAAACACATAGGTGATTGACTTTAGGTCAAGTGAGAGATTGCTAGTCATAGGTGTCATACAAGCCAATCACGTGAGTGATGGCACGTGTGACATGATACACACTCTTTTTTCTTATTATGTATTTGATATTTTTCTCACCTTATATTGCCTATTGCATGCATTGTGATATTGATGGATCTATGCAATGAGAATCGAATCATGATGAGATCACGATAATGAGACTGATTCACCTTTAAATATATACTCTAAATAATCTCGGTCATAGGTAACTCGAGAGGGACATCGAAATGACTGGATAGACTAGTATGATGAATACCCATCCATATGATTGAGGGGATTAGTCTCATAGCTGCTCCTATGGGCATAATAGGGATACCACATAAGTGCTTATTAGAGAATGAGTTTACTAAATGATTCACTCACGGAATGCTAGATGATTAATGATAACTCATTTTCAAACAACGATTTTGTCGTCCTAGTGGTATATATAGTTCTTAGACTTGAGACACCAAAGATGTCCTATATGAGTACTCCACTTTTTGATATCAAACTTATAGACTTAGAAGTTCTATATCTAGCACAACCGGTCATCGGGAGTGGTAGTCAACCTTATGAGGGCTATTGAGTATCGATAGAGGATCATCCACTCTAGGTGTCATGAGAGAAATATTTTATATATTTTTGCTAAGGCAAATCTTTGGCCATTGTCATTCAGATTGAAAAAGAAAGAGTTCTCCAAGAGAATTATATTAGAGCGAGACTCGAGTAGAAACCATATGGGCTTGATAGCATTATGCCCGATATACGGTCTCTAGGGTATTAAATGGATGAGAGATTATATGTACATGGTAACTTAGGATAGATAAGTCCAAAGGATTGGATTCCCTTAGATCGTCTTGGGACTGCGGCGTAGTGGCCCAATACATCCATAGTCAATGAGTCGAGTGAATTATTATGGAGATAATAATTCATTAAGCTAGAAGGAGTTTTGACATATATAACTCATAGCTAGCTCGATATTGGGCCTATAGGGTCACACACATATGATAGGTGTTGCGATGAGTAGATATTCGAATATGAGATCTCCGTTAGAGCCCCTATTTTATTGGATATCTAATAAGCTCCTAAATTATTTGATTATGGATGAGTTATTTGATCTTATGGATGAGATCCAATAAGAGCCTATGAGAGATTACTAGGTAGAGATTTAGGTAGTTAGATGGAGATCCAATACCTAATAGGGTAAGATCCATTAAGGTTAAGTTGAAAATGAGCTTCTATAAATAGGAGAGAACCAAAGGGTCATAAGTCAGGCCTTTTTAGCTACCACCTCTTATTCTCCTCTCCCTTTCTCCTCCTTAGCCAATAGCCCCTATTTGGGATATGTGGAGATTTGGACAATGATTTAATGAGCATATTCATAACCCTTGTCGTGTGGATCATTGTTAGAGAAGAGGACACTTGACCTCGTTCATCCTCTCCCATAGATCTGTAGAATTTCAGGGATATATGATCTTCCTAGGTAACATATATTTCTTATATGCGTAGTTTTCGATTTTGCAGCTTTTGCGCACCAATCTTCGCATGACGATAAGAGACTATTTTTCTATGAAAATCTGAGATTTTTATTTTTGTTCTTCCGCTGTACATGTGATGTCACCCTAATATTTCCCTACAGTTACAACCATTCTCCTTTTCATAAGCTTAGAAGAGAACCTTTACACCTCTCTTTTACAGAAGACCTCACACCTCTTTAGTATAACTTCTACACTCAAGAAGGAAGAAACTCAAACACTTTTCAAGAGAGTTTACAACACTTTATACTTAAGAATTTTTACTTCATCAAGCAAACATGAGTGGGTATTTATAAACCCTAAATGACTTTAAAAATGAAGTGAAGAATTCAAATACTCGAGTTTTCGAGGTACTAGCGGTACTACCATCAGCGGTAGACAGTACTACCACCAAACAAAGCCTAGGAATCTAGGCTCTAGTGGTACCACTATCGGCTTGGGCAGTACCACCATCGCCCTAGGCGATACTATCATTGGAACTTCTAGAAAAGCATAACTCGTGCTTTCCGGCTCTCAAGTGGTACCACCACCTAGGCTTAATGATACCACCAATTGGGCCAACCTCAGGTCATCGAATTAACTGTTTTAATAGGCTCAATTTGGCCCTAATGCAGGCCTAATGGGCTTCTAATTAAGTTGACATGGTTACAGCCCAAAATTAACTCAATTAGACTCGAAATGACTTCGATTAAAACTTAATCACTTTAATTATAATTATGAAGCCTTCAGTATGTTGTTTGGCATGTCATCTGTTCATCAGACACTTTATTTTAACCTTTGACACGTCATCATTTTTCTCGATGTATTGCCCAATCTATTAGCATATTGACCTCCTACAATATTTGATCTTCTTGGTATAATACCTGATCCTTTCGGCCCGATGCCTGAACTTATGGCAAGAGGTCCATCGTCCAACACATCAACCAATCCTCCGGCTCAACATCCAATCTTTGATAT